ACCATGAGAGGTGTATCTAAGGGAAGGGAGCCGAAACTACCTCTTGAATATTGTCTTGGTGAACTCAGCCTTAATGGGCTACTTGTCAACTTGGTTGACAAACCAATAAAAGGATGTCTTCTGTTTTTTTTTTTGTGCATCAGTGATAACTTGCATAAAAGAATCCCCTTTTCCCTTAAAGGCAAAAGGATAAATATACATATAAACTAAAGGTATCAGATGGGAGTATGGACCGAAAAAAGAAAGTATTACAACTCTCATGGAAGATGGAATAAACATCACAAAAACCAAACTAAGATACTAGTTTGAATTTAATAGCTCAGTTTCTAACTTGATATTGGGTTTTTAGTTGAAGTTGTCATTTGCTAAGTGAAAATGCTTTAGAAACTTCAATAAAAGCTGATTATAAGTTATAGTTATATTTATAAGAGTGGTGTGTGCATTGCGCATATTTGGTTATTGTCTGCTGCATTGCTCATGTTTGGTAATTGTCTGCTGCACTGCAAACAGGATTACGTCCCAACTGTATTCGACAATTTTAGTGCAAATGTGGTTGTCGATGGGAGCACTGTCAATCTGGGGCTGTGGGATACTGCAGGTAAAAAATTTCCCCACATGACAGTTTCATCTTTTTCTTTTGTCCCTTGCTGCGTGGCACACACGCCAACTGCCTCTACTTTTTTATTGAACAGGTCAGGAGGATTACAATAGATTAAGACCATTGAGCTATCGTGGGGCAGATGTATTTATACTGGCATTTTCTCTCATTAGCAAAGCGAGCTATGAAAATGTCTCCAAAAAGGTGAGTTCCTCTCCTGCATCCTGTCTCTAACTTTCAGTTTTTTTGTTGTACTTGACCAGGAGATGAACAATGATGTGGGAACATTAATGAATCCTGTCGGTCCCATTAAGCTGAAGCAAGCCCATGAATAACATTGGCTTGTTTGACTTTTACATTAGTTATTCGTAGCAAATGGATGGTGAAATACCAACCAACCTAGTACTTCCAGTGTTGAATATTTAGGATTTCTTAGCGAAGAATGAGTAATAGTTGCCTATCAGAAAAGTAAAATGAGTAAAATGTATGCTTGGTGATATTCAACAATTACTAATACATTATTTCATCTTCCTGCTATTGAATTTCAGTGGATTCCTGAATTGAGGCATTATGCTCCTGGAGTTCCAATTATTCTTGTTGGAACAAAGCTAGGTTAGTATATCCTAATTAATGATGTTTGATTATTAATTCTACAACTGATTGATTTCTTCTTATCTAATATCGCTAGTTGGTCGGAATGGTATCTTTTTATCTGTCCTTCCATTACTTTTGGTCTACTGATCTTCATCTCCTGAGCTACGATTAATCCTCTCTTTGGAAATTTTGCCTTTTATATTTGGACGAGCCATGAAATTTAAGACTATCCTTGAAGAGAGTTTATTTTTGCGCTGGCTCATGAATCACTATGTCAATAATTTTAGCTGTTTATTGGGGAAAAAAGAGCTTTGTAGGAAGGTCTGGGTCACATAAGTTCCTCTTTTGGCAAGTTGAAAGCAATTGTGATATTGCTGCTACTCTCTAGAATTGTGGTTGGGGTCATAGAGAATGGAATGAATGACGACTTTCATTCTCAGTTGTATATATTTGTCTTTGTGGCATGAGTAGTTAGCATGTGCATGCACTCACTGCACCATGTTTTCTCCTTCTTGAGAGGTTGAGCCTATTACACGTCGATACTGCAGCTACTTTTAGTAACGCAACGGTCAAATCAATAGCTGCAAAGCATGATAATGTGATTTTATATTGACCATTTAGCTCAACCAGTTCTTATGAATGAAAACATTTCAGGTGTTATAGGCAGTTTATTCATGTACTGAAACAGAGAGCCAAAGTGATAAATGCTGCTGTTTACCGGCTGAACCATAAAACTAAATCGGTTCATTCAGTAGAGTGCTGATTGAACATGAACTTGTAGGACGCAAATACGTTGGTTGAAATTCAGATGCCTTTTAACTAGATTTAACCCTGAAGAACTATTTATGGTGTCAGCAGATGAAAAATGTGAATTATATATGCTAGGCAGAGAGGATATTGTGATTCAAAGAAACTTCTACAACTTTTGGATCCCAGATTTACTCACTTTTCAATAACTTAGGTTGTTATGTTGTCAAATTGCTGGAGAAGTCTCTGAGGATAAGTGATCTGTTGCATACTGAGATTTGAAATAGACGAGAAAGAAGTATTGGTTCGAAGTTCCGTTTCTCATTTAAATAATTGCAGGGTGCCCAATTGTTTTATAGTTTTAAATTGCTTACTATCCTAAATTTTGAATAGAGTCATTATAAGGGTTGTCATAGATCTCCTAGCTAATCTCATTATTTTATCTCTGTATTGGACTTGGAATATATCTACCATGAAAATATAAGCACCAGAAACTTTTCTAAGTCCTTCTAGAGAACACATTGCTTGGACTTTGGAATGGGAGTCCTGAATGAACTTAAACAATGCTGTTTACTGTATTCTATGGTAAAATTCAAATGTACTAGTGTTGAATTTAAAAGTTCACAAACTATTCTTAAGCCTAAATCGGTAAGTATGTATTTTCTGGACATTACATTCAAGTACATAGAGAACTTCTTTATATACTGTCTGTCCTTCTCATTTGCTATTTAGATATCAGAAATACCTTCAGTTTTCTGGCCTTCTCATTTTAAACCTTTCCTTCCGCGAAGTTCAGCTTAGATGACTCCAATTCCTACTTTCTAATTGCCTCCTCATGCTTTTTCTCTTCTAATTCCATGTTCCTTAGTCTAATACTGTTGATGTGTTTCCATTAGATCTCCGAGAGGATAAGCAATTCTTCCTGGACCATCCAGGTGCTGTTCCACTTACCACAGCTCAGGTAACTACTTTTTTACATGTCATGTGGTTTTAGACCACAATGTGGCCTTTTTGTTGTGGATTAAATTTTTAAGGGGGCCTTAGCTCCTCCAGCAGAACCTTACGACATGCTTCTTTTTAAGGGTGAGGAGCTGAGAAAGTCGATTGGTGCTTCCGCTTACATTGAATGTAGTGCAAAAACACAACAGGTGCTTTTCTAATTCAAAGATGACTACGTGGTTAAGTTATCAAGTTATCTAATTACGTATTTCTATTGCCAAAATTGCAGAATGTGAAGGCTGTTTTTGATGCCGCCATTAAGGTGGTTCTACAACCACCCAAACAAAAGAAGAAAAAGAAGAGAAAGGGTCAAAAAGCCTGCTCTATCTTGTGATTGCTGAAATAATAGACAAGCGATGGAGATGTAGATTGTTATCAATGTCTTCCAAGTTCAAAGAATGCAGTGTAAGATTCAACGTTGGTAGTCCTGACTGACTATGATAGGAAAGCATGAATCTGCCTTGTCCGTAACATTGTAGGCCAAGATGTATATTTGTGATCCGCATATGGTTGGGGATACAGATGTGCAAAATTCTCTGTTACGCGTTGATTCTGTGTAATATATTATGTAACACTTGTGTGATGATTCCTTGAATTTGCATCTACTATGTGTTGTTAAAATGTAACCGAACATACTGATTTAGATTGTCCAAGAAGTTGAATTTGCTATGTCATTGTTTTGATTTTTGAAACATAAAGATAGTGGCGTGAATACTCGTTGCACATAGATTTTGCCCTATGGTTTTGTGAATTGTGCTGTGCTCTCTGATGTAGAATGTGTGTATTTTTCTACCTTTTTTTTAGATGCAAAGTTATTAATAATTTTTTTATAATTAATTTTTCTTAATAAGTCTTTCTCAATTGATAATATAGCTAATCCATTTAACCTTAGGTAAGATTTTATCAGTTTTAATTTTGAAAAACTTCTTTCCGATGAAACAACGGTAACAGGAGTTATTAATATTATTCTATAAGCAATATAGACCTTTAGAAAAAAATTATATATTTTTTATTTGATTTAGTATATCAATTAAACTATTATCTTCTAATTGTACTATTTTTTCTAACACTTTTAATTTAGAGAATAAATCTAAATCACCAGTATCAATATGCTTATTTTGCTTTAAGAAACATTCAAGATTAAGACAATATTTTTTTCAAATTTGCATCATCTAGTAATCTCAGTTTTTTATCGTTAAATAGAAAACCAAAAATATTTTCATCTTCGAATTGTTTAAATGACTTCAAAAATAGCATTGTCTACCATGTATAAAAAGTAATCAACTCTAAAAGATTCTTCAAGAGATTTTGAGATTTCATTATCAATTTCATCAAATTGTTTTTCCTATATGTCACACGTTTCTTACGAAATTAGGCTTCGATATTGATTTCAAATGCAATTTCCTTGGTAGAAATTATAACAGTTGCAAATCCTTATTCTCTATATATGTTAAAGAAAAAGAAAGAAATCAAACTTTATTACTTCACTTTAACTTTTCTAAAAAACTTATATATAGCCTATCGGGTGTTACAAAAAATAGGGCATCCACAAATATAAGGCCTAAAACAATTGCTTTACCTGCTTTAGGGAAGGGCCACCCTGGTTTAGCGAGTTATGAAATGCATACTATTTTGAGAAATTTTCATAAAGCACTATCTTTTAGTAGTAATTAGTCATCTATAGATACCATTTGCTATATTACGGATTATAGATACCTTTTATGTGGTTATAAAATATATTCGATGTATTTAAGCTATTGTATTCATGAATACAGTAGCAAAAATAGGCGTGAATCAGGGAAGTCCAGCTAATCAGTTGTTGTATTCGAGTGTATTCGACTGTATTCATGGAGTGAAACATGGGATTACAACTGGACAGATTATTGTATTCGACTGTATTCGACTGTATTCACGGCGTGAAATAGGGGATTACACTGTTTTTAAAAGGGAAAGTGAATCAATTAACATAATAGACTCCTAATATAACTCAACAAACTCAATTATAACACACAAATTTTGTATTTTCAGTTATAAAAAAGATTCTCAACCGAAAAATACCCCAAAAATATAGCAATCTTCAGAGAAAATTATATAATACATCTGAATACATAAATTATATTAATTAAAAAAACGTATGAATACATCTATGGCATATAGCGAGACAGTGAATAGTGACGACCCAAAGGGTCATCACCTGTTTTCTCACTCATTCCGTGCTTCCGAGGCCTCGAAAACCTCATTCAGGGTTGCCTCGATTTGCGTGCGCAGTCCGGACGCGTAGCAGGAAAGCTTAAATATGAACTCCGTGTGAAAATGCTAAATTTTGATATTAATATGAATATAGTTAACTTCAGTCAACATTTTGGGTAGACGGACCCGGACCCGTGATTTGATGGTCCCGGAGGGTCCGTAGAAAAATATGGAACTCGGGCATATGCCCGGAGTCGAATTCCGAGGTCTAGAGCCCGAGTAATGAATTTTTCTGTGAAATTATTTTTCTGAAATTACTAAGGAAATTGGAAATGAAATTTGATTAAAAGACTGTGGTATCGTGCTCGTATTTTGGTTCCGGCGCCCGGTACAAGTCTTATATATGGTTTTAGCGCTTTCTGTAAAGTTTGGTTGAAATCAGACGTCGTTTGACGTGTTTCGGACCTAAAATGAAAAATTTATGTTTTATGAAAATTTGGAAGAATTCATGTGTTTTGAGGTTTGATCCGTTGTTTTTGATGTTATTTTGGCGATTTGATCGCACGAGTAAGTCCGTAAGATGTTTTTGAGGTTGTGTGTATAATGGGTTTGGAACCCCGAGGGCTCGGGTGAGTTTTGGATAGGTGTCGGGTTGCATTTTTCATTTTGGAAAAACCTGGTATCAGCTGATCTGCAGTTTTCGCATTTGCGAAGCCAGAGTTCGCAAATGCGAAGGTCCAGCTATCGCAATTGCGGAGGTTTTTTCGCAAATGCGAAACCAGCCTAAGCAGGCCAAGGTTCCCAAATGCGAAGCCAGGCGTCGCAAATGCGACGGCCACTGGTTCGCAAACGCGAGACCATTTTCGCAAATGCGAAGGTCCCTTGGCCAGCCTCAGTTCGCAAATGCGAATAGTAGTGTCGCATTTCCCAAGCCTGCAGGGTTCGCAATTGCGAACCCAACTTTGCATTTCCCATATCTGCAACCTGCATTTTTCATACTTAGACGAATTTCTAGTCACTTTTCACCATTCTTTCAAAACCCAAACACCATAGGCGATTTTTCAAGAACAAACTTCATCCCAAATCCTTTGTAAGTCGATTTTTACTCAATTCTTTCAATCATTAACATCATTTAACATGTTTTCCACTTAAAATCAAGGATTTTCATGGGTGAAATTGGGGTTTTTGGGTAGAACCTAGGTTTTCTAAAAATTGGGGATTTGGACCTCGATTTGAGGTCCGATTTCAAAACAAATTACATATTTGGGTTCGTGGGGGAATGGGTAACCGGGTTTTGGCTCGAACCTCGGGTTTTGACAACGTGGGCCCGGGGGCAATTTTGGAATTTTTGGGAAAAAACTTGGGAAATTCATTTTTATGCATTCAAATTGATTCATTTAGTGTTTATTAAAGTAATTGAGCAATTTGTGACTAGATTCGGCAAATTGGAGGTGGAATCGCGGGGTAAAGCGATTGTTGAGGATTGAGTGGAATTCAAAGCTTTGAGGTAAGTGTTTGGTTTAACCCTAGCTTGAGGGAATAGGAGTTGAGTCTTATTTGTAACTTGCTAATTGTCGAGTACGATGCATAGGCATGGTGACGAGTATCTATACATTGGTGTCTAGCATGACCGTGAGTCCTTATTTGCGAATAGTTTGGTTGTTGTTATGCCTTCCATGCTTAAATGATGACTTCTATATGTTGTAAAGACCTTGTGAAAGAAATTGTGATCTTGAAACTTAGTGGAGCATTGGCTCGGGTTGAAATACAAATCGTGAAGGTATATGAGATAAGTAACTCCTTGGAGCATTGGCTCAAGCGATAATGTGAACTATGAGATGAAAGTGAAAGAAAGAAAAGAATTAATGATCCATTCCCTTGCCGGGACGTTGTTGGTTATTGATATTGTACCCTTGCCGGGTTTTAATTGTTAATTGTGTTCCCTTGTCGGGATTTTTATTATTGTTTATCTATTTTCCTTGCCCTTGTTTGTGATTGTTGATTGGGTGAGGAAGAGTGTTAAAGCACGAAGGGTGATGCCGTGCACTGTTTGTTTATGGTAAGGAAAGAGTGTAAAGCACGAAGGGTGATGTCGTGCATTGTTTCTTATTATGAGAAAGAGTGTTAAAGCACGAAGGGTGATGCCGTGCCGCACGATGTACCATTCCGTGCCGATTCTATTGATATATGTGAGGAATGAGAGTAAAAGCACGAAGGGTGATGCCGTGTACATGTTATTGCTTGGTGAGGACGAGAGTAAAGGCACGAAGGGTGATGCCGTGCAGTGGTTGAATTCTGTTTCATTACGTACTATTGAGTTGTGCTGTATTCCTTTATTATTGGACGACTCGTATTTGGAATTTATTATATACCCCCCACAGCATGTCCCCCTCCCATATTGTTTATCTGTTGTGTATTTCGATTCCGCTGTATATATATATATATATATATGAAATTGCACAGGTTTATGTGGTAGTCTGGTCTAGCCTCGTTACTACTTCGCCGGGGTTAGACTAGACACTTACCAGCACATGGGGTCGGTTGTGCTGATGCTACACTCTGTGCATTTTTGCACAGGTCCAGGTTTCGAGCAGCAGCAACAGCTTTAGTTCGGGAGCATATCTTCAGTCCGGAGAGACCCGAGGTAGCCTTGCAGGCGTCCGCAGGCCCAGCGTCTCCCTTCTATCCTTATATTAGACTGTCATCTCTTTGTATTCGGGATAAACAGATTTATGTTTCTTTCAGACCTTGTATTTAGTAAACTCTTAGCAGTTCGTGAGTAATGTGACACCTTATATTGACTACTCCGTATTTTATTCAGTTTCTATAATTAAGACTTCCGCTATTAATCAGTTTTGTTGTTTCATATTGTTGACATAAATTGTTAAAAAGAATTATTTATTAATGGAAAAGTAATCAAAATGGCTTGCCTAGCTACTACGATTAGGCGCCATCACGACCCCCGAGGGTCGTGACATGAATACAATGAAATACATAGAATACAGCGGGATACATTGAAATACAATGAGAAAAAAGACAGTAAATACAATGAAATACATGGAATACAACGAGATACATGGAATTACAATGAAAAAAAAGACAATAAATACAATGAATTACATGAAAATACATTGACATGTATTAACAGAAAATCATCCTACAACATCCATATCTCAATTTTTTAAATTGGCAGGGACGATATTCACTATTGTTATGACTTGGAGAACATGTGATTTTTGCTTTTCCTGTTGGCTTTTTAGTTGAACGTGACTAGAGATTTGGAAAGCTTCGTTTACGCCAAAGGCAAAATTAGCAACGGACTCACATACTAATCATACATAATTTTTGTGGGTATGGAAATACGCTGCCGCAAGACAACTTCTTGATCCGTAGCAGTTCAAGCAGTACCACTTGCCTCGCTATGGCTGCTTCCCCCTGCTGACCCAGTCAATTCCGTCCTCAATGTCATCGCGAGTGCAACTATACTCTAACAATTCTCCTATTACAATGGAGGATATCGACGGAGGAGAAATCGCA